GGCTGCACGTCTCGGCACTCGGCCCGCACCCGCCCGCCGCGCATCTGCGCTCGCTCAAGAGCCTGGAACCCGAGGACGAGGTGGAGGACGACCCCAAGGTGACGCTGGAGGCCAAGGAGCTGTGGGACCAGTTCCACAAGCTGGGCACCGAGATGGTCATCACCAAGTCCGGGAGGTAGGGTGGCCGGTAGGCCGGCGGGCGGGCGGGCTAGGGGACCAGACAGCGCCCACCAGCACCGGCCCGGTGCTCTCGGCTCCCCGGCTCTGGCCCTGGCGCCACGCTCCTCTCCACAGACAAGCACGCTGACTTTTTTTCGTTTGGCACCGGAGCGAATTAAAAAGAAAAAGAAAAGCAAACATCCCTCGATTGAAATAAAACGAAAACACGCTCCTAAAGAATGGTCCCAATCGCTCTGAGTCTCAAAGCCCCGGTGGCTCGGCCCTGGTGCGTCTCCTTTGCCCCTTGAGGTCTCGCTTTTCTGCCTCCGGGTGGATCTCGGAGTTCCTAGGAGAGAGAAAGAGAGCCTTTCCCGGATTCTCCGCTCTGTTTCCCGGAGTCCATAGTGGGACTAAGCATCCCGCCTCCTGCTAGCTCCAGACCGACCGCTTGGTTCCCGCAGCGGGTCTTGAGTTGTTGAGCCTGCAGCTAGGCCCTGGAGAGAGTCTTGCTTGTCCTTGGAGCTTGGAGCTCAAGACCAGCCACTTCTTGAGGCCTTAAAGCCAGAAGAAAAATACAATCCCCAGTCCTCCCAACACTTCAGGCTCTGAGAGTCCAGGCCTCAGGTTCACCCTGTTCCCCCGAACTCCAGGCTCAGGATCCCTAATCGAAGTTATATATATCGTTTTCCCAGACAAAGACCTTGCCAGTTTGTCTCTACGAGCCCTGTCCAAAGAGTCTATTTCCTCTGAACGAATTTCAGGGCAATTCAGGGGGGAAAATACCCAGCGTATTTCTAAAGGGCCTAGTTTCCTTTCCTGGGCACCAGCCTTAGCCTTCGTCTCAGATCAGAGTGGAGGAAAGGTTCGCAGACCCGAGTGCAAAGCTCATCCAAGGCTTTACAAAACAGGGTCTGGCCAGCAGAAATGGGGTGTCTTGGGAGTAATTTCCGCAGGTTGGGTCTTCCCAGTAGCAATAAAAGAAGAGTACAGCACACGTAGAGGAGGTTATGCCAAACATAGATCGGGCAACTTCAGGCAGGGGCGTCCCGTCATCAGGAAGGTAAAGGGGCAAAGAAGAGCCGGGTCCCAATGGCATGTCCCCTTCCCTCCCTCCGAGGCGGATGTTCCCCCCCTTCAAGGTGCGAGTCAGCGGCCTGGACAAGAAGGCCAAGTACATCCTGCTGATGGACATTGTGGCTGCCGATGACTGCCGCTATAAGTTCCACAACTCACGGTGGATGGTGGCAGGCAAGGCCGACCCGGAGATGCCCAAACGCATGTACATTCATCCGGACAGCCCGGCCACGGGGGAGCAGTGGATGGCCAAGCCTGTGGCTTTCCACAAGCTGAAGCTGACCAACAACATTTCTGACAAGCATGGCTTTGTGAGTGGGGGCAGAGCGGGAAGGTGTTGAGAACCCGGGGTGCGTCCTGGGTGCCTACACTACAGTCGAGTGGCTAGAGGGAGGCTACCAGGTTTTCTAGCAGGAAGCCTCAGTTGAACTCTTAGAGTGGCCCTGTCTGGGTCACTGCCCGGTGGCCCAAGAAAGCTGGGCCTGGGCTCCCAGAGTGTGCAGACAGTTGACGGGAAGTTCCAGGCTGCTCACAATCTCAATTCCTTCTGCGAGGGTTTTGAGAGGCCCTCCTAAAGTCAAGGCTGAGGCAGGTGCTACAAGGACTGGGTCAAGCGGCTCAGGTCCTGTGGAGGTCACTCTGCTATGGGCTTGTAGATGCCGAGCTTGGAAAACCTGCCAAGGCTTACTCCTGCAGCTAACCGTTAGCTAAGGCTAAGGCTAGAGGATCCAGAGACCAAACCGCTCTCTTCAGGCCTTCTGGAGACCTTTCCCTCCAGGAAGGCAGATGTCCAGCCAAGGGACAGTATGAGGAACTCTCCATTTCTGCCTGAGTCAAAATCCCAGCCAATGATGGGGGGTCATTGGGCAAAGGGGGGGGCTCCTGTTGCACTCTAGGCAGCCCAGGAGCCTTCCTCCTCCGCATACACACTTCTCTTTCCTTAGTATTTCAGGAGCTTACCAATGTCATGGAAAGTGCAGTCAGAGCATGGAATTGGGTTTTATTTCTCCCTGCTTTGTTTAATTTCTGTTTCGTCTGTTTCCAACCGGGGAGGGGTGTGTGTGTGATAGAGAAAATAGCTGTAAGAAGAAAAGCATGGGGAAAGTGGAAAAAGCAGTGCAGGTGGAAAAAATGAGAGAGAGAGAGAGAGAGAGAGAGAGAGAGAGAGAGAGAGAGAGAGAGAATGAAAGCTGTCAGCCCCCAGTAGTAGAAAGGGTTCGGACAAGGGCAGGGAACTGCCCCCTGAACCTCCTGCTCTTCACAGACCATCCTGAACTCCATGCACAAGTACCAGCCTCGCTTCCACATCGTCAGAGCCAATGACATCCTGAAGCTCCCATACAGCACCTTCCGTACCTACGTCTTCCCAGAGACTGACTTCATAGCTGTCACTGCCTACCAGAACGACAAGGTGTGCTGGGTGGGGAGTGGACTTGGCCCCTCCGTCCATCTACATCCCCCCCCCAACAGTGTATAGGCTCCAAACTTCGGTTCAAACCCACCCAACAGCAGTAGCATCGGCGAGAGCTTTAAAAACTCACCACCCAGTGAGATTTTCAAGAGCAGCACCCACATAAACCCCCTGGGCTCCCTCTCCTACCCACACAGACACACATACTCCCCTGAGGCACTCACCCAGCTGGGCCATAGTTGGAGGGGAGATGTTTACTTAGCAATTAGTAGAGACTCAGGCTCCCGCTGACATTTTTACATTTTATTTCGTTCATTTCTTGGCTCTTGACTGGGGATCTAAATGAAAAGAGGACGCCTGCGGCAATCTGCCCAAGCTCTACAGATGCTAGGAACGCAGGGTCCAATTTTTACTCTCCACGGGAGCCAAAGAGTGGGGCAGGTGGCAGAGCCCTGGTGAGCTCTGGTGAGATCCTCTAAACCGCTTGTCTGGGGCCACCAGGCCCCAGGCCCTTTGGGAAAAAAACTGTGAGAATTCTCCTTCAGGTGAAAGGGCTTTTTCTACTTGTCTGCGCCCTCACAGGTCATTGTGAATTAAATGAGAGTGTCCCCGTGTCTCTGGTAGGGTCTCTGCAAACCCGGGGGTCTGCCTAGCCACGTACACTATATGGAGTGTCTTAGCTATAGGTGGACGCTAGTGGTGGATTCGTTGGATTCTATATAGGCACTTATTTATTTATTTTTATTTTTTTGTGAACTTGCCCTTCTGGGCCTGTGAGTGCAATGATTTGCCTTTGCCTGGACCTGCGGGCTTGGGTGTGCGGTGTTTGTCGGTGCGGATAGTTTAACCTGAGTGACTACATGAGCCTATTTGTTTGCTTGGGCCTGTGTGTGCGTGTTGAGGGATTATTTATTGAATAAGAAAGAGACCCTGTCACTTTCCTAGATGCTTGCCCGCTGGCCTCACCTCCCAGCTTCCAATCCCGGGTGGTACCACCCCACCCCCTACCCCGGGCTCTCTACTCCGTGGCCCGTAGCCGCTGACCTCGGGGTGTCCCCGGCCAGGCTAGAAGAGCCAGGTCTTGACTTTGTGCCGCTTCCTCGGTCCCGCAGATTACACAGCTGAAGATCGACAACAACCCCTTTGCCAAGGGCTTCCGGGACACCGGGAACGGCCGTCGGGAGAAAAGGTGAGATATCCGCGGGTGGCCTGTGACACGTAGCCTGGGCCACAGGAAGCCGGAGGGGTGCGTTGGCGGCTGACGGCTCCTTCTGCTCGCCCCTAGGAAGCAGCTCACTCTGCCGACTCTCCGCTTGTATGAGGAACACTGCAAGCCCGAGCGTGACCGTGACGGCGCCGAGTCCGATGCCTCGTCCTGCGACCCTCCGCCTGCGCGAGAACCACCGCCCTCCCCCAGCGCAGCGCCCAGTCCCCTGCGCCTGCACCGGGCCCGAGGTGAGCGGCACGGTTGATCCGAGTCTGGGAAGAAGGACTAAGGAAGTGTCCCCTTAGGGGGCCCCTTAAAGTCGGTCTTTTGTTCAGCGATCGGCTAATCTAAAGGCCTGGATAAAAGTTACCTGGATGTGGCTAGATTTTCCAGTCTGGTACTCCCATGTAAGGACTGTCCCTGGCAGCCGGGACATTTGGTAGGCTTTGGAGCTGGACCCCTCGTGGGACGTGTGGTTAGAAATAAGGTTTTCTCCTCCTCCGGGGCTGGTTTTCTTCCAGTGTAAGAATGGGTCTGGGATTTATGCGACCTGCAGCTGCCCCTAGAAACTCCCCCAACTTGACCTTCCCAACAGCAAGTCGGTCTAAAGTGTCCACCACCCAGCAGCCCAGGTTTCTCAGGACGCTGCGCTGCGTTGGTCTCGGGCTCAGCCCCTGTAACTCGTGCTCCCTTTCTCCCCGCAGCCGAGGAGAAGCCCTGCGCAGCCGACAGCGACCCTGAGCCGGAGCGCCCGGGCGGTGAGGAGCGCTCAGCAGCGCCCCTCGGCCGCAGCCCTACGCGGGACGCCAGCCCCGCTCGCTTGACCGAACCCGAACGCGCCCGGGAGCGGCGCAGCCCGGAGAGGGGCAGCAAGGAACCGACGGAGGGCGGTGGGGACGGCCCCTTTGGCCTGCGGAGCCTGGAGAAGGAACGCGCCGAGGCCCGGAGGAAGGACGAGGGGCGCAAGGATGCGGGCGAGGGCAAGGAGCCTAGCTTGGCGCCGCTGGTGGTGCAGACAGACAGTGTATCGCCACTGGGTGCGGGCCACCTGCCTGGCCTGGCCTTCTCCAGCCACCTGCACGGGCAGCAGTTCTTTGGGCCGCTGGGAGCTGGCCAGCCTCTTTTCCTGCACCCAGGACAATTCGCTATGGGCCCCGGAGCCTTCTCCGCCATGGGCATGGGTCATCTGCTAGCCTCGGTGGCAGGAGGCGGCGGCAGTGGCGGAGGCGCTGGGCCCGGAACCCCCGCGGGGCTGGACGCAGGCGGGCTGGGTCCCGCAGCCAGCGCAGCAAGCACCGCGGCGCCCTTCCCGTTCCACCTCTCCCAGCACATGCTGGCATCTCAGGTAAGGCCTGTGATCTGCTGGCAGCGGCAGGCAGCCGAGGGAGGGAGGGAGGTGCAGCTTGGTGGTGGTTGAGATGGGCAGAGAACTTGAGTGATGCTGTAGGTACTCAGATCCTCTCAGAAAGACCTAATCCAGTCTACAGAAAAGCCATCTAGGTTCTGAGGTATCCAAACAGAACGCCTGCTTATGATCTAGCCAGGACATTGCTTCTGAACCCTGTGTGACCTTAGGAAAGTCCCTGTTCCTCTCTGGGTCTGTTTCCTTCTCTACAACCCCAGCGGAGGGTGAGACAGTACCCCTCAACACTTTTCTGAATGACCAACTAGGGTTGCTCCTGGGCTTTATGGGGTTCACTTTTCTGGCCCTAGGAAACTTCTGAGAAGGAAAACCTTTACCTCTTGATTGGCGCTGAAAGATTCTATAGGCTGGAGGAAGGAAGGAGAAAATTTTGCCTTGTTTTCTGGACAGTTGACTACCAAAATGACTCACCTCACAGATATCCCTGGCCCCTTGGAGGTCCTCAAGTAGGAAGTCGCCTGCCCTGACTAGTACCTGGACTGGTCTTTGCCCTACGCTGAGTCTCCTGATTCTCCATCCACATCCAGGGAAGGGGGCTTAGTTCCCCCACAGCCTCCTACTGAAATTCTGAGTTCCCAGGGGAGAGTTTATGAAAATGTGGCCAGCGGCGCAATAAGGAGATCCGATGTGCAGAGCAGCCTCTTTGGTTACTTGGGTGGAATATTCCCTGCGGAAAGATTTGGAATCTCTTCATTCAGTCTCTTCCCGCTGAGGTTTCTGGCAAATTGAACCCTTGAGATCTTATCTCCGGGGAAGGAAAATAGGAATTTAGATTTTTGAGAATGTGGCTTTGGTTCAGAAGCGAATGTGTGTAAAGTCGGGGGTGGGGCTGTGAAATGAGTTCTGAACAGGGCTTATCATCAGGGTATATACAGTGTCTGGGGCACCCGAACCACCATGACTCTGGGCTGGAGGGTTGATCTGCACCCCTGGTTTTCTGTGCATGTGAATGCCCCTCCCCAAACAAACGGGAATCATGGAGGACATAGAGAAGCCAGGGTTTCTGGACACAGCCTGGTCAGTAGGTGCAAATCCAAGGAGAGTACTCCCCAGCTCATGAGAAATCAGTTGGTATAGCCTCTAGGGGGTAAGGGCCATAGCTGTGTGTCAGGTGAAGCCAAATCTTGGAAAATTCCAAGCTTCTGCCTCTCCTCTCAACCCGAGGTCGCAGGTCTGAAGTGCACGGTGGGGCTCATAAGCCCTTCCATTCCTCCAGGCTAGACTGCTGCTTGGTTTCTCCTGTTTGAACCAGGACTTGGGCTTTCTCCGAATCTAGTACTGCCAGTCTGTCACCTGCTCCGCAGGCACACACCCTGGGGCATAAGCCATTATCTCAAAGGTCAGATAATCTCAAATCGGGGCCTCAGGAGCTGAGTGCCCTGTTTGTCCAGGGTTTCCTGGCTGCTGCTGCTATCCACCAGCAAAGACTTTGTATTCTGTCCTCAGCTGCCACAGAAGGGCCCTCCGTTCTTTGTCAAACAGTCAGGCCAGTTTATGAACTGGTTAGTACTTGTGTCCTGATCCTGGCTGAGACAGGAGACCCCTGGGCAGGCAAGCAGGCAAGCAGGCAAGCAGGCAAGCAGGCAAGAGACTTGAGCATCCTGCTTTCCAAGCCTGTGTTCCTGCAGCAGCTTGGATCCTGCAGACAGAAGGCATGGAGGAACCACTGGTCTAGATGAGAAGGACCTCATATGACAGTACCAGCTGCCTGCTTGCCACCTGGCCCCATGCCTGCCCTCTTTCTTCCCTCTAGGCCTTTGCCCATACTAACTCAGCCAACTGATGCTTATTCTCTTACCCCCACCATACCAACCAGCTCAGACAGAGAAGGGCAACTCTAGGTCTCACCCTAGGTGATGGACGCCTCCACCTGTGAGGCCACGGTTTTATAGTTACGTGACTTCTGGTTTGAGTAGAGCAAGGGGTATTAAATTGTAGTATTCAGGCTACCACCCTTCCGACAGCTGTCTAACCCTCGCTCCCTTCTGTTTCTTCCAGGGAATCCCAATGCCCACTTTCGGAGGCCTCTTCCCCTATCCCTACACTTACATGGCAGCAGCGGCCGCCGCCGCCTCCGCTTTACCCGCCACCAGCGCCGCCGCTGCCGCCGCCGCCGCCGCCGCCGGTTCCCTATCCCGGAGCCCATTCCTGGGCAGTGCCCGGCCCCGCCTGCGCTTCAGCCCCTACCAGATCCCGGTCACCATCCCACCTAGCACCAGCCTCCTTACCACCGGGCTGGTTGCGGAGGGCTCCAAGGCTGCGGGTGGCAACAGCCGTGAGCCCAGCCCGCTGCCTGAGCTGGCTCTCCGAAAAGTGGGGGGCCCATCCCGTGGGGCCCTCTCGCCCAGTGGCTCAGCCAAAGAGGTGGCCAGTGAACTGCAGAGCATCCAGAGACTGGTGAGTGGGCTGGAGAACCAGCGAGCCCTCTCCCCAGGCCGGGAGTCGCCCAAGTGAGGGGGGCTGCTTGGCTGCTGCGCTACCACACGAGTCTCCCCGGGCTGGGCTGCCTGCCTCGACTGCTCGGGACGTGTACAGCACAGAATGGGTATTTATTTAAATAAAGGAGCAAAAGCAGGCTTCTGCAGTCGGAACAGAGCCTCGCGTGGCAGGTTGGGGATCTGGGCCGCTTCCCCCGGGGGGGCCTCAAGGAGGAATCAGTCTATCCGCAACACAGTCGCACTGGAGCCCCTGGATTTGATCCAGATCTGCTCGAGAGTCAACTACGGGGGGGTACCTCCTTCTTTCAGCACTATGGGGGTAGGGATGGTCTCCTTTGGAGTCCAGCGTCCCTTTGGAAGGCAGAAGGTGCATAGGGTAGAGGTGTTCGCTTTGGAGAGTATCCCACGATCCCTGGCCTTGGGCCTGGACGTCGTGAGAAACTAAGGTGGAGGATGCTGGAGCCAGAGACGCCTGAAGTCAGTGTAGACTTGAGCTAGGAGTCCTGTCTTTGGTCTTCCCACCTCTACCCAACCGGAGGCAGGCGCCTCTCCTCCTCCTCCTCCTCCTCCTCCTCCTCCTCCTGGGTCAGCGGAGGAAGTTGCACTCTGCTTTGAGTCCCCAGGGGGCAAAAGATATTTATGAAATAAATGGTAATTTGTGTAAATAAGCTTTAAGGTTCACAGAAGATGCAAAATCGTATTAATTTATTCAAAGGTGTACATTGCTGTGTACATATATTTAGAGATTAACTCATAGCATTTAATTTTTTTTTTCATTTTACATGAGCATCTATATTGTACAGGGCCCCAGGATCCTTGGCTGCTGGGAAAGGGGGAGGCACCGAACCCCTGGGAAGGCCCACCCCGCGGGCCCCCTCAGCCTCTGCGCCCCGGCTTTGCCCGCCCGGCCCACGGGCCCCACCTCAGGTTTTCACTTTTTGCTCCAGAGGGAGAACTAAGCGAGGAAATAAAAAAACGCTGCGATGCGAAGTGAACCCCGCTGTGCGCTCTGTGGGCCGCGCGGGGCTGGGGCTTTGTGGGCGCAGAAGAAGGGACTGAGGCGGGGGCAAGGGCTGGGCGCCCCTATCTGCCTGGCAGCTGCATGCACCTCGGCCACGGCGGCTGCACGACGCACAGTCGCGAGGCCCCGGGCGTCGGCGCCGGGCACAGGCTGGCCCCGGAGGCGCCGCTCGGCCTCGCAGTCCCGGCGACCCAGGCCCGCGGCCGGGGCTCCCTCTGCTGGCCACTGGCTGTGTGTCCGCAGCTCCTGCTGGTCCCTGTCGCTTGGAGCCAAGCCAAGCGCAGAAGAGCGGCCTGGTCTCCGATTTCCCTTCTAGAACACCGTGGACCCACTCATCACCCCCTTTCCACGTTTTCTGGGTGCATGGTCTGGGAAAGTGGATGCTTCCCGTTCCACTTTCTCCTTTCCAGCGCGTCTGTTGGCGTGGCCCTCCCTGTTGCTTCAATACCATGGCCTCCAGAATTCTGTCCCATCCCTCTGCCTTCTGGAATCATTCGGTGTTTGGGCTGCTGAATAGAGTGGCAGAATCTGGCCTAAAAATTCCTCCTTAGAACTCGACTAACTCCCGGGGTGTGAGTGTGGGTCACTAAGCTGTTCCCTTCCCTGCTTCAGCTGGCTGGCGACTTTCAAGGGGGTCCCGGCTGTGTCTCACCAGTCCCATGGGGCTAGTGCTTCCCCAAGACCCATTCCATCAAGGACAGCTAGCTGCTCCCATCCATTTCGCTCAGAGGGCCGCACCTCTCTCATCACCACTAAACTGGCAGGCGCTTTCAGTCCTTAACCGAAGTGGTCGGGGCGGCTGGCAAGCAGTTACTCCTTCAGCATGTCCCTGGGGTTGTGGTCGCTGAGCACGCCACCTTTCTTCCTTTAAATCCAGGGGGTTTGACCAAGGAGGTTGCCTCTCTGGGCACTGTGCACCCCGGGGGAGTTGTACTAGCCCAGGGACATCAGGGAGAGTGATTTGAAAGGGAGGATGACATGCAGGTAGAATTGAAAGTTCTGGGACCCCCAAATGCTCAGGACTCCTTCCTGGGGTGATACATTTGCAAGGAAAAAAAAACTATCAAACTCTTCCTGGAAGAAGGCTGCCCAAACTATGCTGAAGTCCAGGGGCTGAGGGGGAAGAGAGGTTGGAGTGGGGGGTGGGGGAGGCCGTAGAAGATCTCATCCCAACCCTAGGTGGGTCATGGCTTCCCTGTCTCTGATCTCCTTGACCAGCAATGTGGTCCATGAACCAAGCAGGAACAGGAAAGCTCCCTCGCCCCTTCCCAGGGCACCTCTCCTTATCTCTGCGTTTATTCGAGGTCACTTTGGGTTGAAACGCCTGTAAAATTCACAGAGCAAGGCCTGCGCAGGCTTTTTGCGGCCTCTCCCTTTCAACCAGGAAAGAATGTCGGGAGTTGGCTGTGGGTCCCCCGCGGCCTGCGGACACCAGGGGGCACCACTCAGGTGGTGGGCATGGTCGCGGCAGAGCAGCCACCGGAGAGGGTCTGTCTTGGAAGGCCGGCTGCAGCAGCTCGGGTCGGGTACTACTTCAGATCCTGGAACGCAGTTTGGAGAGTCCTCCCGCCCCCTTACTTTCGGGCTTACACGCCCCCACTCCCGGGGTTGCCTACCCAGTGGTCCGCTGGGCCCCAGCTGCAAGGCCAAGTGCAGCTTGGGGATCCTACAGCCGATGGGTCCCAGACAAAGGCCAGGCCACTCCCAGGCCCAATTAAGCCATCAGCCTTCCCAGCCTTCATTGTCTCTGGGGTCGCCAATTAGCTCAGGCGCCCGCGTACCCGCTGCTCCGGTGCCCCACGGCCTTCTTAACCCTTCAGGACCTGCTATCGGGGGACCTTGGACGGCAAATCCGTCTGCAGAGGGGCGTGTGTGAGCGATGGGGATCGCAGGGTCGCCGAGGCCTGTCGGTGGGTGACCTAGTGTGTCGCCTAGAGTCTCTATGGGGAGTGTGGGGTCCGGCAGAACAGCGTATGCTGGTTTAGGACTGAGTGTGATTCACCGGCGAACAGGGAGATTCGGAATTAGGGGGCTCGGTGAGACCCCTAGCGGCCCAACTGCATGGGCCCCGAGACCTAGGACGCGGGATTTCCCACGCGGTTAACCCGAGGCTTCCGGACCCTCAAGCTATTCCTTCCCTCCCAACTTCCCGGCTGCGAGTGAGGGCATCCGCACCTCGGTAGTTGGCCCTGCCCTCCCGGAGGGCGTGGAGCTGGGCTCCACCTTCCCCGCGGCGGGCTCGCGGGCTGGGGGAGGAGCACGGAGCGCCGGGATCTCGGGACACCGGCCCTCGCCTGCCCAGGCTCAAGGCCCCGTCCCCTGCCGTTCTAGGAGAAGGTGGCTGCAGAGGGACAGGTCTGGGAGAGAACGGAGTTGCAACTCTGACCTCTCTTTCTAGTTTGAGAACGACCCTAAAGCCAATCTGGCTTCCTCCTCCCGAAGCCATCCGCCTCTCGGCCCTTGACCCCGAAGTTTGGAGCACTATCGGGTAGGCAGGGTCCAGCCAAGGGTCCAGAGTCCCGGGCTCTAAGGACTGGGGTGCAGTGGGATGACGTCCCGAGCGCTGGAGGTAGCTGGGCGCTCCAGGTGGTCTTTGGACATTGCGTCCCGAGTGCAGGCAGGTGGCCCGCAGGGAAAGTGTTGGTGTCCGGAGGACTCTTTGCCCCTCGGAGTTTCTTTTGGGCCCTCTAGGGGCGCGTATGTGTCCATCGGGTTTGTGGATGCCGAGGACCCCGAACTCCCTTCCTTTTTTGAGGCTGCCCGGGACGCGGGAGCCTGTCCAGTTCCCAGGCCGCAGGAACTCCTAACGTGCCCACGAGATGGCGCTCCAGGCCAGGGGCCGGTCCGCAGCCGACGCAACCCTGCCTGCCGGAGCCTGAGAAGCCCTGTGTCCGGGGGAAATGGGCAGTGAGACAGAACCTCCGACCACTGTAGGTCCAAGCCCAGAAACTTCCGAGAGGCTACTGAAGACGGCTGCGGGCACCGACTAGAGAGCTCAAAGCTTGGTGTGGGGCCTTCTCTTTGGAAGTGCCCTGCAGTGCCAGTTCCCAGTCCTGAGAGACCAGACTGAGAAACAACAACCTATGTATGGCCTTTGATAGGCCTGTCTGGGCTGTGGCCTCTCGGGATCCCTCCTAGAACAGGGAAGGAGCTTGCCTCTGGCTTTCCTGGTCTCTCTGAGGCGCCATCAGGGCTGGCATCCACGAGCTCTGGAAGACATGCCTGTGGCGTATTAGAGTGTGGGCTCCACTGGACCATGCACGCTTGAGTGTAATAGCTGGCCCAGGCATTCCTCAGCGCTTACCTCCACCTCCTCAGCCTCACCCAGATCGTCAAGGTCACATGAAGAGGCTGTTGGGCAAACACCTGGGAGCAGCATACCTGAGGACGAGGGTCGTGTCTCTCAAGACTACCAAAGGCTCAGGAGAGACTTTGGATCTTCAGTTTTTCCAGCTGAATAAGAAGGGCTCAGGGCTGAGCAACCAGAGGCTGGGGCCAGGTTTGAGTTGGAGACTCAGCATGGGTAAAGAGGGGAGGCCCGGTAGCTAAGAAATGGCACATTTCAAGTGGGGGTAATTCCTGGAAGTTAGGCACCAAAGATTCCAGCAGCTCACTGCAGCCCCCCCCCCCGTGGGGGAGGGGAGCAGAAGAACTCAGCACACACCTTTTAAGAACACAAAGCTAGCTGGGCGGTGGTGGCGCACACCTTTAGTCCCAGCACTGGGGAGGCAGAGGCAGGCGGATCTCTGTGAGTCTGAGGCCAGCCTGGTCTACAGATCGAGTTCCAGGACAGCCAGGGCTACACAGAGAAACCCTGTCTCAAAAAACCAAAAACCAAAAAAATAAAACAAACAAACAAACAAACAAAAAAACCAACAACAACCAAAACAAAACAAAAACCACACAGCTAGGAAGCTGCCCTGTTACCACCGATCTTTCCTTACATGCATTTCCCCACCCCAGCCAGGCTCAGCAGACCAGAGGATAGGGTCAAACCTTCAGTAATTTAATAGTCATCAACATATACATCTACTGCAGAACACACAGGCTCTGTAGGAAAACTGAACAGGAGATAACATGTTCAAGGTCAAACTTTGCCTCTAGCTGTAAGACTTTG